CTACCTGCAGATAAAACATACACAGACCTGATTATGAGTAAATCTTCTCAGATACTGATATATAAACTGCCCCACGTATAAGCTGAATCCATCACGCTCCTCTAAAGCTAGCTGTGCACCAGATACTGTCAGCCCCACTAGGTAGGCCAGATCAGAAAACCAACTCCACAGGAAGACTAGAACTCTACTTTGTTGAGATAGGCTGTAATAACAGAATCTTGCAAGTCTGATTGGGCTCTATCTCTTCCCCCAGTAAATCAGGGTGGCTGCCTGAGCTGCTTCCAAATATTATCTCTCTGGACTTAAAAAATGTTTCAGCCCCTCTTGCTTAGGAAATGGCTCTTGCATATGTCCATAAAGATCATCCTCCTTACTCTCCACAGGTACCAGTAGTGAGGATACAAAGAATGATGTCCTCAGGAACTGTAACCAAGGAAGATGTTGACTCCAATTCTTACATTTCCTCACATCCTAATTTGTTAAGGCTACGACGGGTATCACTTCAAGCCCAGCTCAGGACCTTCAATAACCCATTTCTACTCAGACCAAATCAGAAGCTGGTTGCTTTGATTCAAGACCCAAATCAAAGTAAGATTTGTTCCTCCTAGTAACTCACATGGGAAAATTAGAAACTATTTGAAATGTACAAGCATATATTTCTCAGATATAATGTCCTGAAAAACAAACTGTTTGAAGGGAGGCTAAAGATATGGTTCGTGGAAAAGAAGTGTTTGATTATCCTTCTAAGAGACTCCAAAACTACTATTGTTAAACTAATGATTTTAATTTAAATCAATGTACTCAGTCCTCAAATTTACCCTAGAAATAAGAATTCTTTTGTGGAATACATGCAAATTAATTTTTACTAACTTTCATCCTGCTTAAATTTAATTTTAGTAAAAAGCCACAATCTACCTTTCCATGCAGAGAAGAAAGCTGATCCCAAAATAGTAGAGACTTCTTCTCAGCATCAGTTTTAGCCAAGGTCCTAGACAAAGTTAAGGAATCACACCTTCACAGCCATGAAGTGCAACAGTCAACATTTGTAAATGCTATAAAAAAATTTTTTTCCAGAACTGTTTATATATTCATAGTCCACATGGATCATATAGTCTGACAGCACCCTAATTCTTGGTGCTGTTCAGTATATATCACTAAATCCAGTCCTTCAATGGTACAGAAACTGCAAGTAATTAATGCTAGATGATGACTAACGGGTCTAATTCAATTTCACAATCCTTAATGCTTTATGCTTATTACAACTAGTGTTTCTGTGACAGCTGTTACATATTGTTTTATTTTGTGCATCATAACATATTGCTATTTTGCAAGTGTTTCTGCACTGTGTGTACATCCATGTGTATACAAATATGGGCAAACAACCCTCACTACTGGTGAGATGATTAGGCAGTCTAAGAGTATTCCTGAGTGTTGGAGAATTTAACGAACAAGAAGAAAAAATTTTCCAAGCCTTTCCAAGACCATATTGCTATTCAACTTTGCCAAAATATTTTGTGATAAAAAAAATTTTTCTGCTAGGTCCAGGAGTTTAGAAGACTGAATTTAACTGAAAGCTACAATGCTATGCACCTTAACTTGAAAATAAACCCACTGAATTCAGTGGAAGTAACTTGTGCATTTATAGAATGAATGATTGTCTCTATAAAAATTAAAGTAATGTTAGCAACAGTTGTATCATTCATTAAAGCTGTCATTTATGACAGTGCCTATCTATGAGAGTATTTACTTTACTTGCCCTAAAGATTTCCTGTATCTGAAATTCCCTAGTCCAGGGACTTAAAACTCCTAAATCAAACCAAATGACATCTGCCACAAAAGGATACAGCTCAAACTGAAGGTTTGACACTAAACATGCTGGCAAGTGAGACAACAGCACCATCTGTACAAATTTTAAAGCAGGACCATAATAATGGAACACCTGAAAAAAAGTATTAAAAGGTAATTTTGATATTATTTTATGTATTCCAGCACACACTACCGGAACTTGTGCTGGCTGAAAAAATAGGAATGTCTGCAGATAGGAGCTTTCCACTCTTCCTTTCCCCTTGCACGCCTCCCAAAATTTTAAACTCGGAAGATTCAACAGAGGTGATCTGCCACAATGAAGAAAAACTGGTAATGATGATAAAATATACAATGTAGATTAGGTTTAATTGGGCAAAATAAAGTTCGTTCCTTGTTCCTCATAACAACCAAATTCTAAGAATAAGTAGCAACACTGACCTGAGATATTTCTTCAACAGTTTTGTCTTTTCTAAAGTTTTATCTTTGTTAGTCTCCTCCTTGATTCTCTTAGATTCTACATTTTTAGGGCAATGACCCTAGCTATTTTCTCTGCATAACCCTGTAAGAGACTGTGTATGTTTATGGTGACATTAAGTATATATAAATCCCAGATGAAAACTAAGCGTTAAGTTTAGGATGAAGTTTACCTTCCTACCATACCCGTGTTAGGCTGGATATCAAGGGTGAGGCTTCAGGGAGAGAGAGCCCTGCCACTGGCCCCACCAGCTCCCAGAAATAGGCTAGACGTAATGGCACAGAAGGCAACCTGTTGTTCCCAGCCATGTTCTGCGCAAGGAGAAAAAAAATGCTTCCTTTTCCTCAGCAGACAGAAACAGAAGAGACAGCTTGCCTTTGGAGCTCATCTGATCCCCTGCAAGCCAGAAATTCCACATTCCTGATAATAAAATTCTGAGCAACTTCCATTCGTTTAAAAGCTCATACACTCGTGTCAAACAGCCTATTTGTTATGTGTTCAAATGCAGTTTCCTTAAACTGAAATCTGAGATGTGTTTTGCCCTGAGCATCCTAGTAAAAAAAGAACTGCAGATTATCCCATCTATACCGAGACAGATGTTTCCACAAGTTCTAGGTGTACATGTACGTCCCCCCATATTCTAAAAGACTTGAGAAATGCAAGAAAGAATTGCTGTTTTAGTCTGAGTTGGAATTCTCTTCCTTTTCCTTGAGTTGCTCCCGGAGAACAAAGAAACTGGATTTCTAAAGCAGGGTGATGACACCGTGAAACAGATTTTTAATTTCTAAAATCCTGTGCCTCTACACGCATGCATTTTACTCTTACTTGGCCATAAAAAAGCTAGATTTTTTTTTAAAAAAATTCTGGGTGAATATTGTTTTCAAGTTTTTAAAAAGTAATATTCTATTTTATAGCATAATCAGGCCTAGATTTATCTGCTTTCTAAAAAGCTAAGAATTGCAATTCAGATAGATCAAACACATGCATTACCTCTGAACAATGAATACTGGTATTCTTTGACTGTTTATTTTCATCAGCAGCAAAGAAAGTATTTAAACAGAAGGGGCTGAGCGATCTTCCAGATGCAGTGCCTTTTATACAAAAGTCTGGAAATGTAATTTCAGATCCAAACTGGCGAGGAAAAAAGCAAAGAATAACTATAAAACTCTTAAGTGTTACCTTTCCACCCATTTTTAAGAAGTCTAAGCTATTGCATAAAATGAGGAATTAAAATGTAGCCAATGGAATTTAAAAACACAGTACTTATGCATCCAAGAAAAACTATTTAAAATATTACCTACATTATTAAAGTTAGCACAATCATTTTCTGGTGCAAGTTCTCAAGTACGCTGACCCCAACAATGTCTTCTTCTCCCAAACGGCTGGAAATTAGATAGCTAGAAACCTGCCTTCTAATCCTATTTCCTTCCTCTTTTATGCACAATATTCTAATCTGAGCCCACCACTCAGATCTTTTGCTGTGTGAATGTGAAAAGAAACTCTTCCTTTCACTCTTTCTTCCCTGCCTTTCATCCATGTTAGAATCTCTGGATTAACTTTTTCAGATCTGCAAACTGTGCTGCCCAGACAAAAACAACAAACTATGGATAGAACAAGTAACTCTGTTTAGAATTATTCCATGCGTGAAAGGGGTTCTTATCCAATGGAGTCATTTATTAAGCCTCTTCGGTCTTAATGACCTTTTTACTGGAAGAAAGTGATCTTTAACTTCAATCTCTAGAGTTTTTAAGTGTTGCAACTGATGGCAGGAGTGAGGAGAAGAAGAAAAAAAAGAGTATGTCCCATGACTGAAGCTCATTTGATGGCATGCTCCTGGCAAAGGTTCCTTTAGGCAGAATCCAAGCCTATGCTTACAGCAACATAAAGTTCTCTTTATTTATCTCTTTATGGGGATAAATATTTCCATATATAGATCTAGTGTACACTTTTCAGCAATTTAATATGCCACCATTCCTCCAAGAAAGTTTCAAACCAATACCTTTTGTTCCCATATTTGGATCTTTCCTCTCCACAATTCGCTTGAATCAATACTGTCTTTTAAGTTTTCAGGAGCTAAGATATCAGCAGAAAGATATTCTGCAAATTTTTGCCAAGTACTGTAAGAAGAAAACGTGTGTAAGTTGTGTGGCTTTCACTAAAATCTTTATAACTTTCAAGCTTAATGCTTCATATAATTTTTAGGACACTTAAGTATGATTCTACAGTATTACAGATATCAGCTATGGAATGTCATTTATCTGTTGCAAAGGATTTAGATCTTACTCAAAAAGTTATTTATCAGTGTTACCCTGTTAGATTTGTATCCCGCTTTCCTCCAGAAGTTCAGGGCAGTATGCAACTCCCTCCTCTGTGCAAGGTAAACCGGGCTGGGAGATAGAAACTAGCCCAAAGTCATCCAGTGAATTTCAACAGCTTAGCACCTCTTGAACCTGAGTCTTCACAATTCTAATCTAATACCTTAACCACCAACCACACTGGCGCCACCATGATTGTGAAAACAGCTTACGTCTTCCAGTTTTTTCCAAAATAAAGGTCATGACACAGCTTTTTCAGACACAAAAGGACGTCACCCGTATTTAGCAAACTGTGCTTAATGAAAGGCTTTTAGAAAGCATAATGCTACTTAAATTTAGGATAAAGCAGTGGTGGGCAATTTAAAGCAGCCAAAGTTATGTTGGATAAGTCTCAGGAATAACACAAAAAAATCTGCGTCCACAAGCTTTCATTCCAATGCCTATAACCTGAAGCATTGGAATGTATATGTCTTTTTTTTAGAACGAAAGTTAATCTTAGATCTTTGAATTTTCACTTAAATTAGCATAAGCATCTAGCTCAAGATTCCCTAACTGCTATGACAGCTAAATGGGTCAAGAAGACACCCCTGCCTACTCAGCCCACTGTGACATTAAAACATGTATTTCATATCACTGACAACCTACTTGCATTTAATGTATACAGTTCAAATATAAATCTAGGCTGAGAACAGACATTTAAACACTCTAAATAAATGGTTCTTCCCTTGAGCCAAGTTGTTAATACTTTGGACATAGGTCAATTTTGGTTTTCTTGCATTTTGTTTTCAAAAGTGCCTGCCAAAAATAGTAAGGGATTCATACTGGGGCTCCAGAAATGCATGTGGATTCCAAAGTTTTGGGTTTCCACACATACAACCTAAGGTATGGAGCCAGTATGTAGATGGCACCTTTGATATAATAAAAAAGGAACAACTAGAGAAGACACATGAAACCATCAACATCTTCAAAGGAATA